CAATATATTCATTTTTTTATTGCCAGTATCTATTTTTTTTAATCGTTTCACCCCAAGCAACGTAATGATGCCACTAAGATGCAAAGAGTTACTCGGAGTGAAAAGTGAATAAGAAAAATTTGGAGAGAAGGAGCCAGGAATGAACAATAAAAAACACGATTCAAAAAGGCAAAAGATTGCAATGGATGTTGCAGTTTTTGAAGATTGTTGGCGGCATTGAAACAAGAAATTCAAAGAAAGTTCCATAGGTGAGACGTGTGTTTATTGCAGGTGATAGTCCCTTTTTCTCCCTTTCTTTTATTACTTATACTTCTTTTACTATCTGGGAGATCCTGTAGTTTTTTTCCGTATCAGCCATCGACAAGATGTCAACTGCGTATCTTAAGTCGTTAACATTATGCTCGCCAATAATAAATCTTTTTTTCTATTTTCCCCTTAAGATCTCTTTGTTGCTTACACGCTCCTTCCATATAATTCTCAATATCCTTCTGTAGAACAAAATCTTTGATGTTTCAATCTTCTTTGTACAACATTCATTGCCATGTAAAACGATTGATATGACATAACAATTCAACAATCTTTTCTTTGTTTCTGGCATGTTTTCTTGAAGCTAATGACACCCCGGTCGCCAGCCTGTAGGTCGCCAGAGCCTGGCATCTCATCTCTCATTTGAAACCTGTAACAGCTTAGAGGAGGAAAAATTGTCTGGCTACATTCAGTGCCTCGAAAAACAAATTAGTAACGTTCCATCATCACCAAGCGAAATTTTGAATATTCATTTACGTGCAGATACCCATAGGAAAGGTATGAATCTTTCCTCTTGTCCCCTCAGCTATGGATTAATTAGTAAGACGTATCACAAAACCATTATTATCTCCAAAAATAAAAAAAAATAATGCGTACAAAATATTTAGATTTTATCAAATAACCCATAGATGTTTATATGTAGGTAAAGAAAAACAACAAACCTTTGCTTTTATATATATATATATATATATATATATATATATGGGGAATAGCCTATTTCGACAGACGAAGATATCCGTCGTCTGTCTTATCAATCTCGGTGTGAACTGAGTTCGTGTCTATACCGATAGGGGGCTGCAGGAAGTAGAATTTAACGGTAAAAGCTAAAAATATCAACCTGTCGAGAATTTATCCATTTCAATGTTTCAGTCAGACGTAAGGCACGAGAAAGAAGAAGGTATTTGTTTTAAAAGGAAGAAGTTTTATAAAATCAAACCCGAATATTAACTTTATGACATTAATTTTGGGTTATATGAAGAGTGAAATTATAATTTAAAATAGAAGTAAAACGGAGTATAAAAATAAATTTAAAAATTTATAGATAAAAGGATTTGTTACCTTTAAAATATAAGTATATACATAGTGATTTTCTAAGCCTGGCTTAGCTGTGGCACAAGGCCGAAAGTATGGGGCGCCCAGTGAGGATCGAACTCACTACTCAGTGGTAATTGATCTAGCAAGACAATTCTAACCATTACACCACAGTGTTTACTCATTCCCCAACGAAATGAAATGTGACACAGGGTCGGATTAATGTGGGTACCCGAGCGCGTACACACGGGCAGGGACAAAAATTCCCCACGTCCCGCGCAACCGTCGGTTGCGCTGGCCTCGATGCAAGCACCGATCCCTCCCTCTTGTGCAATGGGAGGGCGTGACCTCGGGCAGCTGTTCCCCAGGGCTGGGCACCTCTTCAGTATAATTTTCCCCAGTTGACAGAGACGCAACTGAGAGATGATAAGAAAACGTGAAATTACCCCAAAAGAGGAATTTACACATAAATATAGGGATTTACCAATCGTAGTTTAGATGTGACACAAGACCGAAAGTAGGAGGTACCCAGTAAGGATCTAACTCACGACTCAGTTGTAATTATTCTAGCGAGACAAACTTGCTAACCATTACACCACGTCGAGGTACTAGCTAAATAAATAAATAAATAAATAAATAAATAGATAATACCGTTTACATTTTAAAAGTTTATTTAAATAAATATTTCCTCTATGTTATTTATTTTTAATTAAAATTTTAAAAATTGTTATATAAGAAATATTTCTCTCAATAAAGATTTTTTTTTAAATCCTTATTTTATAAATAGAAAGAATTTATATCTTCCTTATCAATGTCCATTCGTAAAATAGAAAACCTACAGTAATAATAAGCATTGTTGTCATCTGATATTTCACATTAATACAAATTAACCGAATTCAGCCGAAAAAAAATTCATATAAATAGGTCAAAATAATCTGTTTAATTAGATCTTCGTAAAAATGTATACAATTAATTAAACAAGTGAAAAACTAATATAATTTCTGAATTAATGTATTAATAATAATAATAATATGAAAATTAGAAAATTATTCAATTGTTTCTCTCTTGGTCAACACTATATTGCTATGGCCAAAGTAGGAAATTCAAGTAGACTTCGAATGTTGACGAAAGGAACTTTAGAAAATAGATGTCTTGCTGAAAATGTTCTTTATACATAACTTTTAGGGAGTTAGGAGAATTTCTATGAAAACTTATTCTTTTCGTAGAACGGGTTTTTGGTTAGCATTATAAATGTAATAATAAGATAATATTTCGCCAAAAGATGGGTCGATTAGGTTAATTCTGGAAGACAACGTTTTCTCTTTGTAATTATGTTGCTCAAAACTAAACTAGTGATGTTCCATAATCACCGAGCAGACACTGAAGTTTCACCCATCACAATGAACGGACGTTCTCTCAAGGAGTCCCCTTTGCCTTGAGCGTCTATTGGGATTTAATCTCAACTCAGACCTCAAGTGGAATTCGTTCATACGATCCATCGCTAAAGATACTCCTGTAATTACCTGACACCTCCTTCTATCCTTTACTTTTACAAGAGAGAGATCTGGACGAAAATGAGGCACTGCTACCATATATGGACATGAGCTGGTCATTTGTCACTTTCCAGTCTCGATGGATTCCAAAAACGTCTCCGCGTCCTTGTGGGTGATAAAATATTTCTCACCCTATAACCCCTTTCTCACAGACGGAGCATCGAAAGCCTCTTGTTGCTCTATCACTTTTTCTATGGAAAGTGTACAAACGAACTATATTCCTAAGTTTCCCAGCTCTAACCTTCGCAACTAAGACCCACCATGCCACACCCATTGTAGCAACCTACCCTCATTCCTTTCATATTCCATTGGTGACATGTAAGTTCCACTGGAGCAGTTTCTTCCTAAAACTAAACAAGTGACGTTCCATCATTACCGAGAACACCGGATTATATATCTTACTGTTCTTTCTTTTTTTTAATATATATATATATATATATATATATATATATATATATATATATATATATATATCAGATTAATTCTAGAAGATAACGTTTTCTCTTTGTAATTATGTTGCTCAAAACTAAACTAGTGATGTTCCATTATCACCGAGCAGACACTGATCGCGATGAACGGACGTTCTCTCAAGAGTCCCCTTTGCCTCGAGTGTCTATTGGGATTTAATCTCAAGTCAGACCCCAAGTGGAACGCGTACATACGATCCATCGTTAAATATGTTCCAGTAAGTATCTGACTCCTTTTATCCGTAACCTTTACAAGAGCCAGATCATGGCGGAAATGGAGTATTAATGGAAAGCATGTGGCAGTCTTCAGTTTCCAGTCTCGGGAGACCAAAAGCGTCTCTGTGTCCTTTTGGGTGATGAATTATTTTCCACGGACGAGAAAGGGGTTCTAGCCTCTCGTTTCTCTATATTTCCATAGGAAATATTCAGAAGAAGTATATTACTCAGTTACAACAGTTCTAACCTTACGTCTAAGACCCGCTACACCACTAACATTGTTCCGCTCGAATTGCATCTTCCCACCAATTTTCCTACTTTGGAGAACCAAATACAATCTTAACCTGTTCAGGTCTTGGGTTAACCGTTATCTTCCCCATATAAACTCAAACTCTTAAGGGCTAGTGTAATGGTTAGCAAGCTTCTCTCGCTAGAACAATTACGACTGAGTAGTGAGTGCGATCCTCACTGGGTGCCCCATACTTTTAGGCATGTGCCACATTTAAGCTACGCTTGGAAAATCGAGAGGGCACCTCGAGGCGTTGTAATGGTTAAGCAAGCTTCTCTTGCTAGAACAATTACGACTGAGTAGTGAGTACAATCCTCAATGGGTGCCCCATAATTTCAGCCTTGTGCCACATCTGCGCTACGCTTGGAAAATCACTATAGACTCAACCTCTTACTCTGTAACTCTTTACTTTATGGTTCTTGGTCCTTGTACAGGGTGAAAAATCTTTTACAATGCATCTTCTGCTAATCCAATGTACACTCGGATTTTAGTGCCACAATTCCATCCTTCGTTAATCTATTTCCTAGATACGCAAACTTCTGTATGCTTGAGGAGATTTTTAACTCCTATTTCCCTAGGCAGGTCGTGACATATTCCCTCTATTTTGCTTTGTATATTCTCCTTAGAGTCAGGAAAGTCTATGGTAACAAGTCAAAGCTGGACTGCCTTGAGATATGCGCCAGATAATTTGGCATCGAAGACATTGGTGAATATCTTAAATTAGCTTTGACGTGTGCGTTTTTGAAGTGAAAGTCGTAAGAATAAAAATGTCAATCGACTCTATGGCTGGAGGCAATTTTTCTGCCTATAGAAACTGGTTCTGCTGAAAGCAACTCTAGTAGGGATGGAGTAGGGAATGAAGTATTAAATAATAAATAAATATATCAATAAATATAAATTCTGGTACTTTTTTTCCTTCAGGGAATTCCATGAAATACAATAGAGTTTATTTTCGGCGAATCAATAAGCGAAGATCGAAAATTCAGTTGGATTTAACAGCACGCATAAGCACGAAAATGTAAGGGCGAAAAGAAATTTATCTGAGAGAGAGAGAGAGAGAGAGAGAGAGAGAGAGTGTGTGTGTGTGTGTGTGTGTGTGTGTGTGTGTGTGTGTGTGTGTGTGTGTGATGGAGGAACGGAGAAATAGAGAGAGAGAGAGAGAACAGGAGGCGTGAGGCAGATAGAAAAAGGGGCTGATACATTGAGAGGGAGAACGAAAGGAGAAAGAAAAATATTGGGGAGGGAGAGAGAGAGAGCTGAAGAGAGAAGTCGGAAGAGAAAGAACGAAGCGAGAGGTGAAGTAATAGAGAGAGAGAGAGAGAGAGAGAGAGTTAAAATGTGAGAGAGAGGGTGAAAGTGGGAGGGAAAGCGAAACGAGAAAGAAAAATATTGGGGAGAGAGGGAGCGGAAGATAGAAGCCGGAAGAGAAAGAACGGAGCGAGAGGTGAAGAAATAGAAAGAGAGGGAGACGGAAAGATAATATGTGAGAGAGAGGGAGAAAGTAGGAGGGAGAGCGAAAGGAAAGAATGTGAGAGAGAGGGAGAAAGTGGGAGGGAAAGCGAAACGAGAAAGAAAAATATTGGGAAGAGAGAGAGCGGAAGACAAGTCAGAAGAGAAAGAACGGAGCGAGAGGTGAAGAGATAGAGAGAGAGAGAGAGAGAGACGGAAAGCTAATATGTGAGAGAGAGGGAGAAAGTGGGAGGGAGAGCGAAAGGAGAAAGAAAAATATTAGGGAGCGAGAGAGCGGAAGATAGAAGCCGGAAGAGAAAGAACGAAGCGAGAGGTGAAGAAATAGAGAGAGAGAGAGAGTTAAAAATGTGAAAGAGAGATGGAGAAAGTGGAAGGAAGAGAGAAAAAGATTGATACGGTGAGAGAGAAGAGAAAAGAGATGGGATAAGTAAGAAAGCGAAAGAACGGTGAAATATAGAGAGAGTGAGAAAGGGAAAGGGAAGAGACAAACGGTCGGGAAGAGTGAGAGGGTGGAAAAGAGAGAGAGAGCGAGGGAGAATTGAGATGAGTGAAAGAGAGAGGCAGAGTGTAGAAAAAGAGAGAGAAAAAGACTGTGAGAAAAAGTGAGATAAAAATAAATGATGGAAGAGAAAACAAGACAAACGATGTCCATAAGAGACCGAGAGAAGAGAGGAGACGAGAGGAGACGAAGGAAGATATAAGGGAGATACTGAGTGAGAGAAAGAGTGAGATAGAGAGAAAATAAGGGAGATAAATATAGACAGAAATATGTGGTGAGAGAGATGAGAGAAATGGACAGACTGAGGAAGGAGAGGAATATAGAAAAACAGTGGGAGAGTATGATAGTGGAGAATAGAAGGTCACGGAGGAGAAAGAGACAGAGATAGGGAGGTGAATGAAAGGAGAGAAAAGAGAGAGAAAAAATATGAGAGAGACTGACGAAGAGAAAAAGAAGTAGATAGGAGAAAGAGGAAGCGAGCAGCGTTTGTGAAGACCCATTTCTCCAAAAACTGGCTCCTTTCGTCATCCCACTCGAGTGAGCTTGTTTCGATATCTGGCTTCCACCCCTTGCACAGGCATGATGCTTCCGACTCAAGAACTTCTGCATTTTTCTTTGATTCCTGGGCAACAACTTCATTTTGTAAGCCTCTACGTCAGAGGTTCTCCACCTATTTTGTCCGATTCATCCTTTTTACCCAGGATGACATCCCCCGGCTTTCCAAGATTGTCCGACCGAAAAAGTGCATTCCAAATAATCTGCATATATTGCTGAAAATCTTCATTCTTTTCCTTATCTCTATCTATAAAAGGCAGGATGTGTGTGTGTGTGTGTGTGTGTGTGTTGTGTGTGTGTGTGTGTGTTACGAATGCACGGCCGCACTTTTCGACGTATTTGCACCAAAATTTATACATGCTGTGACTCCATTTACCAACACAAAAAGAAAAGAAAGGAAAAAGAGAAAGGAAAGAAAGGAAAAGAGAGGCGAGACTTAAGCTTAGATGATAAAAGAAGCCACCCACGACTGGGGACATTGACAATGTTATTTTGATAATTGAAAAAATAACAGGTGAAATACAGGGCTTTGGATAGATAAGAAAAATTAACTGTGTCAGAGGGGGCAAACAATATTGTCGGGAAAGGATTTAATAGGTCGTCTGCTAACCGCACACGAAGCCAACCCTGAGTCACTACTTGGCCGTTTTTGACAAGACATCTATAGGTGTTAGAATTCGGTCGTGATAACAAAACTATGTTATCAGAAATTGGCACCAAGAATGACTAGAACAATGGAACTGCTTTTTCGAGACGACGGTCCACTGTGTTTTGCTGGACGACCACCCATTCTGATAATCTGACTGACGAAGTCCAGATGAAGAATTGAGGTTATCACACTACTGGTCGCATTGTTCTGTTGGCGGCCAGAGAAGATGAGAGCTGCGATTAAGAACACAAAAGGAAAAGAAAAAGATAATTTTTTTTGAGCAAGATATATTTTTTTTCTTCCTAAAACAAAGCCAGCTGAATCACACACACCCGGCTGGACGCCATTGGCCGAATGATAACGAGGGCCAGGCGGAGGTGATCACGTGACGCAAGAAGGGAAGCCGCCGCCGCCCATTTAGAGGATAGGTATGAGTAGTTGCTACGAAGAAGTGGGGAGAACCGTCGACGCCCCTATGAAGTATGGTGAGATATCCATTTGAGAATAAGAGAAGGTGGGAGTAATAGAAGACTTCCAAAAATGGGAAGGAGTGGAAAATTCTTAACCAAAAATAAAAGAAGTGGATATGGATTTAGAATTATCGAGGAACCTCCGACCCCGACAAACCCACCCCGGTTTTGGTCGGCGCCCATATAAGCAAAGTCGCAGCGAGCGAAAAGTAGAGTTTCCTGGAGAAGTTGAAGCAGGCCTCGCAGCTGACTAAGATTCGCGCAACTTCCGAACTCATCTTCAATCCAAGAACAATTTATTTTGAAGAGCGACTTAGATCCCTACCACCAAAATAAGTTTTTCGATTTTCGCATGAAGACACACCAAGAACCAATTTCTTAAAGAACAGACAACTTAAGATGTTAAAACTCGCCTAACAAAAAAAAAAACAACGTGTCACAATCCATATAGCGGGTCGGGAGATAGACGCAGTCCTATGTATCCAGCAACCAGATATAAAGTATTGTTATCCTTTTTTTGACACCTTGAACTTTTGAGTTATTATTTTATTTTATTTTATGCATATTTGTGCGATATCACCCTCGTTTGAACTCAATTTGCATTACGGCCCCAACTACTGATTGATTTCGTCTGCCTAAGATCAATTCACAACGTGGGTAGGCGGACTGGAGATCAACGCAGTTACTTTGGTAACCAGGCGTTGGAAGCGAGTTGGGAACGACGAGGTTGATATCGAATCTAACCAGATTCCCATCCGAATCACCAAAAGGTTAGAACGTCACATTTGGGTGCCGCGACCGATACCAAGCCAGTTGGTCGTCACAGTACGAGACAACACGACTGACGTGACAGGCGGACGTCACGTTTGGAGCGGCGACACCCGAACGAAGCAGCGAGGAGAGAGAGAAGGCTGTGTTGAGGGACGTCACAATGCTCCAAGTTAGCGGAAAGGCCAAGACCGACTTTGCATTTCCCAACTCCCATCGATAGTGGAAATAATCGATTTTTTCATGCTTCTACGGCAGTTTTCATGTAGTTTGCGAACATTTTCTACTGGCCTGAGTGAGAGCCTAAAGCTGGCTGCCACGAATAGGCAGGAATATTCTATTGGCCAGCGTGAGATCCAACAGCTGACTGACACGAATGTTAACAAGCATGCAAAAAAATCGATAGCTGTATTCGTCACAAATGGGAAAAATTTAAATCTGCATGGCACTTTACTCTAATTGGCTCATTCGCTTGCTTAAACTCAACGTTGATTCTGATTCTGCATAACTGTGTTGGGTGTGAAAAAGTATTTGTTGTTGACATTCTTTTTTCATTCGGTTTTTCCAGTTACGAGTCCTTTTTTAAAGCTGATCGTTTTGTGTTAATTTTGTTTAGTTCTTTTTTCGTAACAGATTTAATGTTTAGTATAGCACTGTGAGATAGGCAAGAGGTGAGGCATGTAGCAACATCAGCACGGCAAAGGGCACTCCTTTAAAGGCAAGGAAGGGCAAAAATATTTTAAGTCAAGTGATAGCGATTGCTGTATGAGTCGTACGATTTTTGAATCAAGCCCGGGCAACGCCGGGTCATGCTGCTAGTTAGTACGTATACATTGACATGGATTATTTTTGTCGTGGTGGAAAACAAGAACTAGAGGAAAGGAAACCCAGCGTGACCCTCTCAGTTGCGCGGCAGATCCACATTGCGGGTTTTTGTGCCGCCTTGGGGAATTCGAAAGTTAACCTTTTGAGTCTGCCAATCTGTAGCCCCTAGTCCCACTCTGAAACCCTGAAATTACCCACTAAGGGGAAATTTCCCACTAAACAAATTATTTCTACCGCAAATACAAATAAAGTTATAATTTTTTAAAGTGCACACGAACTTTATGGACAAGCTGTATATATATATATATATATATATATATATATATATATATATATATATATAGTCGAGTTTTACGCTGACTCAATCTTCATTCTCGAGTTACGACTAGTCATCCTTTCATAGGATTTAACGTTGGTTAGCGTTTTTTGATCGGCTTAAGCAATCTGGGTTTCGAGCATTTTTTATTGTATATAAGTTTGATTTTAGGCATTTTTTTCTTTCTTTTTTTTTTTTTTCAGTAGAGTTAAATTCAACCGTCATTTCTACTCCAACTTCTTTTTCTTGAATCCCGTTCACCTTTTTTGTCTTTTCCTCAATCCTCCTTATACCCAGTCTTTTCATTCACTTTTCACTCCCTATTACACCCTGCGTTCTAGTGGCATTCCCGCCTTGCTTGGGGTGAAATGATTCAAAAAATGAAATACATCAAATTATGTGCGTATATTCTGGCTGTTCTAACTGAGCAGCTTGAAAGACATAAGTGACAGGACATTTCAGTATATATGTGTGTGTGTGTGTGTGCGTCAATTAAATGGTGCAGTATAATTAATATTATAAAGTAGTAATACTAAGAGTAAATCAGTAAAGTTAATGTAATTAATGGCGAAATCACTTCACTAACAGATTTAATAAAGCATTAACTTACTAACCACTCGTTGAATGGCGCGATCTTTGTTTTTAAAAATTGTAGAATGGATTAGATGTTCAGTCCATTTGTAATTTACTTTCGATGAATCATCTTCAGGCATGGATATTATTTTTCAATTTCAGGTAATTTCAGGTAACTTCCGTGACGAATATATACAGTGTAACCCGGATATAAGAGAGTTGTCGGGACTAGAGAAGAAATCTCTTATATCCGGGTTTCTCTTATATCCGGGTTTGGTCTATTTTGTTTACATTAACACAGGCTCTAATTTGGGGCCAGAAAATATCTCTCTTATATCCGGGTTTCTCTTATATCCCGGTCTCTTATATCTAGGTTACACTATATATATATATATATATATATATATATATATATATATATATATATATATATATATATATATATATATGTATAAACGATACTCAAATATGGTGCATTTGCGCGCTTAGGCATGAAACCGGGTGGGAATGCTGGTGACCGGATGAGCATACTGGAAACCTGACGGGCATATTGAGAACTGAATGGACATGAAACCGGCTGCGCATAGAGGAGACTGGATGGGTATGAAACTAGATGGGAATGATGGTGACCCGATGAGTATACTGAGGACCTGACGGCATTCTGTAGACCGGATGGGCATGAAACATGCTGAGCATGTTGGAGACTTGATGAGTATACTGGAGACCTGACGTGCATCCTGGAGATAGGACGGGCCTGAAACCGGATGGTAATGTTGGAGACCGGATGATCATACTGGAGACTTGACGGGCATGATGGAGACCGGACGGGCATGATGGAGACCGGACGGGCATGATGGAGACCGGACGGACAGGAAACACGATGGGAATGATGTAGACCGGATGCGCATACTGGAGATGTTCCATCGAGATGCTAGTACTTTCGATAATTCTGTTATCATCATCAAGCATGGATATTTTTTTCCAGGTAACTTCAGGTAACTTCCAGGACGAAAATAAATGTAATCCAAGTCGAAAGATGATTTTTTCAAAAGTGTGTTATTATTAACAGTTACTTCATTTTGGAGCGTGCAGTGTTGCAACGCTAGAGTTTTATTTTGAATATTTTAAGTTTTTTTGAATATAGTAACATGGCAATTTGCAAAATTTTGTTTTAAGTGGGTTTTTTTTTTCAGTTGCCACTGTTTCAGGTGACATGGACTAAATGGTCTAATCATTAGAGTAATGTCCTAGTAGTTTTCCATAAATTTTGTAATGCAGATCAGTCCTGGTATCATGGTGCAGTATGATTAATATTATAAAAAAATAGTGATACATATATATGTATATATATTGGGGGGGATAAGCTGTAAAAAACAAATCAATCAAGTCTTATAATATGAAAGTCTGATATACTAAAGCAATAATTTGTTAAAATTTCCGATCTTTCTTTTAATAAATTGTCGCCTTCCACTGGTGCTCCAAAACTGTGATCTTGTACCAGACATAATTTTTAATGAGTTTGTGCAGCACTGAGAGTGCCACTATTTCGACATTTTACAAGACCTAAGCAAGACTTATAAATTCATCTGGAAGTGTAGAGGTAAGCCACTGGTTACAAATCTAAACTCGCAAGCCATTGCTAATAACGGCGATGAATTAATGTTAAAATCGTAATCACGATGCACACTGTAATATTTTCCAAGTACGTCGAGTACTAGCAGTTGCTTTGGGATGTCAACAGCTATTGCGTAAATGTATACTGAAAGCCAGTAAATTTGATACTCAACTTGAGAGATGTCCACCGTCGACCGTCCACGATATAAGATTGGACGCCGCAGAAAGCGATATTGCCGGATTGAATGAGTGTCTGGCAACACTGGAATGACAGAGGAAATTGCAAAATGAAACCACAAATGCCAAGTGCGCGAAAAGGGGCGTCCGTCATAAATTTATCTGAACAACCACTCAAAAACTCAAATATTAATCCCATAATAGCAGGAATCATAATCATTACGGTGGATCAAGAGCAAGCAATCGCATACGAGAACGAGAGAGACAGAGAGAGATTAAAATACACTGACGTGACAAAAGTTATAGGATGGCAGTAAAGATAAAGGTGATTGGCACCACCTTACCTTAACGTCAAGGGAAATCCTAGATATACCCTTTGTACTCTGACATCTAGTGAGTCAGTTTGAAGACCGGCTAAACTAGTATTTGCATTATCGGGATTCAAATTTCTGAAACTGAAAATTTAATTTCGATTAGCTAGTGTTTCCAGAGAATAGCTGTCAGAAATGATTGTAACCAGAGGTTAGACAAAAAAAAACACTGTCTTAATTCTTCTTCTTTTATTGTTCAGTCGGGTTAATTTTCATATACTAACCGTAGATTAGTATGGACCACCCAGTGAGGATCGAAATCACTACTCAGTCGTAATTGATCTAGCGATACAGACTCGCTAACCATTATGCCACAAAGAATTGTATTAAAGTCGAGCGAATAGAAACGAAAGCTTATCAGAACAATTACCATGAAAACATTTTGAGAAAAGGCAGAGGGAGGCTACATTACGACAGTGGGAAAGAGACTGTTTTGCATTACACACTGCTTTGCTGTGTAGACATATATGATACTAGACTACCCGTGACCTGTTGGGTCACTGACGTTTCGGATTATAAAAGATTGAAGTTGATTTCAACATTAAAATATTGCCCGTTTGAAGAAAGTTGAAATAAAAATACTTACTGTATAAACAACTTGTATTTTTAAATCTTATTCGCTTAAAATATTTTTCAAATCACATTAAATTAAAAATATATATTTTTATATGCCAAAAATATTTTAAAATCATATTCACTTGAAAATATTTTTTAAACGTGGCAAAAAAATATTTTTTTAAATATTTAAAATATTTGTGTTTAAAGAAAGCTAAAACGCACAACATCTCAGAGGTGGAAAGAGAGATGTGAAAAGAGAGAGAGACTGAGGTTGAAAGAGAGAGAAGTGAAAAGAGACAGAGAGTTGGAAAGAGAGAGAGGTGGAAAGAAGCTTAAATCATGTTAGATACCATTTCTTTCTCTCCCCTTTCCTACACGATAATAAATTTACATCTTTCTTTCCCCCACTCTCTATATATAACTTCGTGTGCATGGTGGCAAACACAAGCAAACACAGTTCCCAGAGTTTTAGTATAATAAAGATATTCATCACCGCTTGGGGCACTTGTATATAGTATATATAATTTTGTGTATGTCTTAATGGAGTAAAAGTCTTTCTGAGAACAAAGCATGTTTGTCATTCTTTTTCCTATCAGCTGTTCCGTTCTGTCAGTGAATTACGGTGTTATTATATCACGGATATAATAATGCCTATAATGGAGGAATGTAAATGGGAGAATAAATATTTCGTCCATAGCTCTCATCTGTTATATAATAATAGTTATGCTGAGCATTGTTTATTATTTTTTCAGTACTTACTGTATATACTCGTGTATAAGTCGACCTCATGTATATAATAATGCTTATAATGGAGGAAATATAATTAGGAGAATAAATATTTCGATCATAGCTGTCAGCTGTTATACGGGTGTAGTTCATAATAATAAGAGTTATGTTTAGAATTCTTTATTATTTCTAAAGTACTTACGTATATACTCGTGTATAATTCGACCTCATGCATATAATAATGCCTATAATGGAGAAAATATAATTAGGAGAATAAATATTTTTTAACTGCTCCAGAAAAAATTACCTGTGTATAATGCACCGGTCACCGAATTTTAAACTTCAAAAATTACCTGTGTATAATGCCACCGCCTATAACTTGCGTCAAAAACTGATCCTAAAAACGCGCACTATACACCAGTATACACATTATATAAATTTATTTCTACTTTTCCTCTAATTGATTATAACATTTACATGACCTATTTCCACCTTCACCATACTTTCAGTTCTGTACCCACGCTCTTAGTCAATGGTTGTGCGACAACTTTCGACTGAATAACATATTTCTGAAAATATATTGTTTAAAATCTATAGATTGTAATTATAAATTAATATTTTTGTCGAGGTATTTCCTATATTTATTTACTGCATGCCGCGGGAATGTCTGTGTGCAGATAGACGTGTTCATTAGATGCAATTCGGTGTCAGAAAAACTCACCGGCCGGGAGTCTTAATAATACAGTGTTTTGTTGTTTGATTTACTTACGGCTTGCGAAGTTTCAATTAACGACCACGCCCTGTTTGTTAGGCAAGACATCAATCTAAGCCCGCGCGTATGTAACTCGTAAAACATGTCAGAAAAGCGCATGTGGTGAAGCTTTAACATGAGTGGGTATAGCCAAGGCAGGATGGTATGACGGAGACGATCCGTCTTTTGGCTAGTTTTGAATTCAAAGTTATCCTTCTCCTAGACTGGATGCGATGCCACGGCTGAAGGAGCCTGGCTTCCTTACTATTTCCACGGTCACGAGTCCCGTAAACCCTGAGGGACGTAGGCGCAGCACATGTACCGTAGGCGCAGGGTGTGGTTTGAACAAGAGAGTCTGACGAAATCAGAGTGTTTTTTCCTCTAGACTAGTTGCTCAACCAAGGCTATAAGTGTGCCCTGCTATTTACCCATTGCTGGAGGGGGGCAGGAGAGATAGACTTATACCTTTCTCAAGGGTATTAACACGTAATTGAATGTAATGAACTCGACCAGAATTCGAACTCGGCCCTCCGATTCCACAAACTGAACCCCTATCAATTTGTCATCCATTTAAAACACAGAGATTGGGATGGATAATAAGGGGATACATATTGCTTAGTAAGTAGGAATAGGAAAAGTGGAGAGCCATGAACATGCTATGAATACCATTGAGGGAGCATGTAAGCAACGAGGAAGCTTTAAAGACAATAGCAAAACGACACTCAGTTTTAACATTTTAAATTAATTAAAATCTAAGGAATTTAACATGAATGTAGATTACTCGAATTTAAATTAAATTTTGAAATTTTAAATAAAATTTAATTAAATTAATTGAAGTTTTAAATAAAATTTAATTAATTAAATTAAATTAATTAAATTTTAAAGTTTTAAATAACATTTAATTAGATTAAATTAAATTCATAATTTAAAGTCTTAAATAAAATTTAATAAAATTAGATTAATTAAAATTTAAAGTTTTAAATAAAACTTAAAGTTTTAACTTTGTTAAAGACAAAGTAACAAATAAAGTGAAAATTAAGGAAATCCACTCTTGATATGACCCATACTAATTTCTATTTGCCTTTTAAATATATCCGCCTCAGCATTTTCTTTCTCCCACTGGTCATCTTATGTATTTTCTTGCATTAGAATGTAACCCTACTTTGCTTTTATTGATTGATTTATGTTTTACGGATTAACAACCTTTTGAAGGTTATTTAAAGCCGGTAAATATTTTTAGATTTTAAGAATTTTTTGCAGATGATAATAATTTACTGATACAAGTCTTAACCCATAGCTGGGGGAGAAGAGGTGGAATCATACTTTTTCCAAGAGTATTTACGCATAAGTAAATATAATGAACCCAACTGGAATTGGAACTTGGTTCTCCGATTAACAATTCCGAGCCGTTATGCATTACATCCTACGCACACCCGAGCTTACAGTACCTGATATTCCCAAATGGTTACCCCTATAGGTACTGGCCAGGCTCGGTGTTGCTTAACTTCGCTGACCTTTTTAAAACTGGTGTTTCAGCGCAATATGCCCTTAAGCCTCTATTTTGTTTTCACGACTAAAAGTTTCTCTTTGCAATTTTCAAGCATTCCATGTAAGATGTTCTTGTGACGAATCTTCTATTCCGATGTTTTTTGTTGTCTATTTTTATTTGCTGCTGCTATACAGTACATAGGTTCGCCTATCGTCCGGTTTA